GTGAAGATATCCTTCCAAGGTTCCATTTTTAACACTTAATTACGTTAAAGCATGCATCTTTATACTGATTAAGGTCCACACCCCAGTTGGTTACTTGATTAACCCTTTAAACATGCAAAGATCACACCTTTAACCCATCAAAACACAAGCTCAAGGTAGGTACAACTCACCAAAGCTCAAAACAGAGTTGGAGGTGCTCTTGGAGCTCACAACCAGCTCCCAAACTCTGACTTGGAGGAGTGCACGAAAATGCACAACAAGGTGGTTCCTTTCTTCCCAAAGATGACCACTTGGAGCTTCAACAACCAAGAACAAAACCTCTACACTCCAACCTACTAACTCAGCCCCCTCACAAGCCCAACACAGCCACCAACACTCAGAAAGAGACCAACAAAGCAGTCTCAAAGCTAGCACTCACCCTCACCAAGTGTTTAGAAAGAAGGAACAAGCATCAAAGGTGATAACTTGGCCAAGAAATGAAGGGAAGAGCAATGGAGCACTATTCTGGTCAGCCTCCACCAACACTCACGCTGGAAATTCTGTTTTCTAGGGCTATGTGCCCTTAAAATGGGTATTTATAGCCCAAGTCACTTAAACACACAGTATTAACTTTAATTGTTACGCTTAGCATTTTAATCCCAAACTTTGGATTATGAAACTACATAATTTTCTAAGATTTATCATATTTTTCTTATAATTTTCTGAGCACTTTTTCGGTACGCGCTTTTCCAAGCCAGTACCGGTTTCCAGCACCAGTTCTCATTATCTGGACTTGAAACTCGTTTTACAAGTCCTACATATTATTCTAGTAATTATCATGCACTTACATTAATTTTCCGGGATACTTTTTCGGCACGCATTTATACCGACTAGCAGAACTGGTATCTGCACTTTTCTTCCGAAAATCGACTTTCAGCATTCTTAATCACTTATAACGATTATTAAGCCTCATAAATAATTATTAGGGTCAATTATGGAATCATTTCCTATTTTCTCGTAATTTATTAATTAAATACCTTAATTAACGGTGTGGGTTCTTACAGATAACAAGGGCCCTCATCACTATGCGAAGTATGAGCCATACCCAACAAGTTGCCTTTCTATTTCATGTGTTTTTTGAATTGTTGATCACCTTTACACATTTGCCATATGTTGCTCTTATGTGAAAGTTGGTGATTGTGCTCATTTGAGCTAAAGAAAAGCTTGGAACGAAAGTCTACTGGAGGTAAACTTATGGACCTTAGGCACTAGTCGCTTGTGTGTTCCACCATGCTCCTGTAGGGGAGGAATGGTTTTGATATTGTGCATTTGAAAGTAGAATTGGCCTTGAAGGCCGAAACATGCGTGAGGGAAAAACAAAATTTTTCGCAAGCGGAACACACATGCATATCAAGATACATACTTTAAAACGTATGTCATACCTTGTTCGTGAAAACTCAAGATGATCAAGGTAGGTCTGAAGGGTTCAGACCCTCTAACGTTGATCCACACCACCCGCGTCTAGATACAGGAACTCCTTCCAGTAAGGCCGCCGATTGATCACCACAATAAGGCTTCCTATGCGCTCAGTGTGTGATGCAGGAGGCTAGGTAAAAGTGTTTAGAAGAGTGAAGTGTTCTAAGAGAAAACCTCACAAGGGGGCGCATAGATGAGTAGAGAAAGGCTTGGCTTTTCACAAAAACCTAAGGAGGAACTAACTACACATTAAGCACACAAGAGGAGCCTTTTAAGTTTCAAAAACAAATCAGATTTTTCTCCCAAAAATCTGATCAAAGTGGCGCCCTATGGGGAGAGAATAAGTGGAGTTGTTGCATTTCAAAGATTGCCAACAACATCCCAGAATATTCTCATGAGACTAAGTTCAAAACCTAGTCAGAAATCTGATCATGAATCATCATATAATCAGCTATATGGTGCGCCCCATATAGCCTAAAAGGTGACCAGATACATTTGAGTTAGTTGCATTTCAAACTTAAATCAACTCACTCAAATATTCTCCCAACAGACCGTATCTTCTGGAGCTGATTTTGATGATCAAATCTAGCCAAAATCAGCGCCCCATTATCCTTGGATTATGTCCAAAAGATCTCCTCCTGATATGTTCCAACAAGATCTCATCTTATCCTTTTGTTATGAAACAACTTTTCATAGCCAATTCAAATTCGAATTTCAAACATTTAAATTCAAACTTTCAAACACTTAAATTTTAAATTCAAATTCTAAATTCAAATTCAAATTTCAATTTTCAAATTTCAAATTCAAAATTCAAATTTCAAAATTCAAAATTCAAATTTCAAATTCAAATTTCAAAATTCAAAATTCAAATTTCAAATTTCAAATTCAAAATTTAAAATTCGAATTTCAAAATTCAAATTCAAATTTCAAATTTCAAAATTCAAATTTCAAATTTCAAATTCAAAATTCAAAATTTAAACATTTGATAATTAATTTAACTAATTAAATTAATTAGTAATGTCTTGGACTATCCAAGCCCATTACTTTGATCCATGCGCCTTCCACCATATCTGTGAAGTTCCAAACTACTTCTTGGGCTAATAACAATTGTTAGGCCCAATACATTTAATGCTAGAGCATCTAGACAATTAGGTGTTAGAGTGTGACCCATTAGGTCCAACATAGCCACTGACATAAATGGGCTTGGGCCCAATAAGCCCACAACCCATCTAATGACAACACAGAGCACTAGCAATGCTTTGTTGCCCCAGAACTAGTTAGATTAATGACTTGATTATCCTATTACACATATTTGGTTGCCGTATATATTTCCTTTCGTCTCGGTTACCTTCCCATAAAACCTAGGGTAAGGAAGCGTATCAACCCCTGCGGTTTAGGGTAAGCTTTATTCGAAATAGGGAATCTTCAATTTACAGACTCTAAAGGCAGATCATCTCATGATCTCTTTTACTATGCATAGATTCTCGAGTCCCTGTAAATGTCATCCCGATTTCTCCGGTTTACAGATAACCTAATCTCTCACAGAGATTTGACGAATTCCTTCAGCTTATCACCCTAGCCCTGTGTTCTTTCAGGACAAGCCCAACAGTATACCTACGAGTCTCCATGTTTCAGGCAGACGAGGTGCACAATCAAAGCATGCCTTCTAGAACACAGTCTAGGTAATAACTTCTGGTCTTAAGAAAGACATACCAAATATAAAGAGACTACTCTAATGATACTCTCTGTGAGAGTTCCTCATAGAGTCTCTTTGTGGGTCTGTTCAGTGCGAGCTATACCCTTATAGGTCCTCCCACGACTTTAGCTAAGACATCTCTATATCTGTAGTTCATGAGGTCTTTACCTTGCATCCAAATACAAGTAGATAAGTCGTGCTAGTCTTACCCGAGATCACTGATCCTCATTCTCAGTGTCTCTAGACTAGGAACATAAAATTAGGAATAAACATGCAGTATCCTTGAATCCTCATGATCGTGATCTCATCACAGATACTCAAGAGATACCTATTTTATTCCAAAGGATTTATCCAGTTACTCATATAAATATTAATAGTAATATTGAGACAAAATATGAAACAGGATAAATAGTGCTTTTATTTGCGACAATATAAAAGGTCTACATATGTCCTAATCTAATCAAAAGATTGTCTCTAAGACATCCATATACTAACAGCATTATGGTGTTAATGTTGTGTGATGCATGATAAGAAAGAATACATGGATTATGTATAAGAGCCATAAGTGAAGTGGAACAGTCTTGGTAATTCATCACAGAATAGATGATGTATGGAACTCTCTTGTGATAAAGGTAGATAGATAAGAGTCACAAGTAAAGTGCAACTCTCTTGTGATAAAAGTAGATAGATAAGAGCCACGTTCAAAGTGGAACTCTCTTGTGATAAGTTTCGACCAAAGTGGAACTCTCTAGTTATAGCTCTTAATTGGGTGTTGCGCATATTCCTTTGGAAATGCAATGGTTGGCCAAACCATAGAAAAATCTAAGAGCCACACAGTAAAGTGGCACTATGAGTGATTAGCCCATCAGATAATTCCTAAAGCGTGTTGGGCTTGTCTTCAAACGATTGGGCCTTGCTTTAGATGGGCTGGGTTGTTCTGATAATGTGGTCTGGCCCGCAACAATATTGTTTGGGCTGCCCAATCCATGATTGTGAGGCGCTTAAAGTACGGATCGAGAAAACAAATAAAGAACGCCAAAACACATGTACAACACAAATTCCCTCTCGCATGTTTGTTTTCAATCTGCCAAACAGCTTAGAAATACAGGACTTGTACTCATATAGTTGAATGGATTTCATCATAGGTTTTCAATGAATCGTAAAGGGGCATGACTCTGATATTTTTTAGGGTTACTAGTTAATGACAGCCAGACAAAAATAGCAACGATGGGGAAGCATTTGCTACACATAAAGAAAGGAAGATAGATAGCATGGCAAGCATTAACCGTGCACGTAAGCTAGAAGCATCTGACTCTGTTTAGTGTTTGTTTCAAGAAAAATTGATGTTTGAGACATCCACAGTTGATAGCATTTGAGTGCAAATTCAACTCTAAAGATTCAACCGATCTAATCTATAAAAAAAAAAAGGATGATGATAGACTAAATGCCAATAATACAAAACATTGCATGCAATGCACCTAGTAACGGTCAAAGACAGCAATCTTGTATGCTTAAGCTAGAATGTTGAGGCCCTTAATGCTGATCTAAACCTTGTCTTCTGCCAATCAAGTCATGACCCCAGAAATTGGGATTAAGGAAGCTGGAGAGCTCTAGGTGAAGGATCGAAACTAGATATTCAGGAGACCAAGATCAATCTAATATGAATATTCTAAGAATATGTACAGGCATAGTGTGATGACCCACTTTGCACTTACAAAACTGTGACACCATACTGTTGCAAACATAACAATCACTAATATAAGCTCCTCAAGGGAAGAGAAAGATATCCTCCTCCACCTATTGCAAATAATGGACAAAAGAAGACATTGATGATGTAAACATACCCACATCCGTTAAATAAAATTGGCTATGTCATACAAATTGCACGAAATGGTTGTTTACACTTTTTACATAAATTAAAAAACATATTTGTTGCAGACAAAGAAACTGAATTTTGTATGACAAACAAATTGCAGTACAGGTATAAACTAGGAACCTTCCATCAATATGATCTATATGATATATGTAACATAAAAGACCATCATCTTGGCCTCCTTCTTCTGGGCGCAGTTGAAAATCGTCTTAAAACCTCAGTTCTTCTTCTTCTCCTCCTATGTGTTGTCTCTGAGCCTAAAACAGCAATTGTGTCAACATTCCTACTTGAAGGAGGCACATAAGCTGCGGCTGTGGAATTCGTTGCAGTAACATCTCGAGCAAGACTCTCTGGCAGATTTGTAGCAGCATCTCTAAAAGTTGAATTTCTATTAACAGCACGAGGATTCGACTGCCTGCTTCCTCCTACCTGGTGATCATGCATATGAGATTCAAGGTCCTCAACTAATCTTTCTGCAGAATCCATTGCAGAATTTAATGCTGATGAAAGGGATGAAAATGAAGCAGCTCCTTGTACGAACAACCTTGAAACTGGATGGGAAACAGTATGTTGATTACTGTCTGTCCGCAGGCGAGATTGAGAAAGCAAAATACTGTTTCTATCAGTTGCAGTATTGGGCCTTTCTGACTGAACTTGCTCTCCTAATCCGCTAACAAGGTTATGAAACTGCCGAATATTTCGGATCACAGAAGAAGATGATGCTCCTTGGCTTATTAGCTGCTGCCTAGTACTCTCAATTCTAGGAGCTCGAGGTCGAGATGGAACTCTCAAACCAGCTTCTTTTAATTCATCCTGACATTTGCTACTGCCACTTGCATTGCCATAAATTGGAATAATACCTGTTTCAGTGACCTCTCCATTGCACACAGGACATTCCGTAGCCTTTGAATAAGCATATGGCAACTGATAGAAGCATGGCCAACAAAACAAGTGACCACAACATGTCAAAACAGGATCTCTTGCCTTGCCAAAGCATATATTACAATCAAAAAGATTTCCAGTGCTGCCCCCTGCCTTGCAGGCATCTGTTTCCACCCCACCCAATGCTTTAGCTATTAAATGAGAACCCTTCCCATTGACCCCTTTCCCACTTTCAACTATTCCTTCTTCAACTTCCTGATGCTCCATTCCTTCATCTTGAGCATTATCTGCTGCGGATCCTCCCGTAAAGTTGGTTATCTGAATCGGAGAGTGAACCGACGGCCACCTCTGACGCTGCCTAGCTCTGGAAGTCACTGCTTCAAGGTGTCTAATACGGTCCTGTATATCTCCATGGGCAGATTCTAGTTCATCCAATATAGAATCAAATTCAACAACTGAACTATGAGTTGGGTCCAAAGGCTCCTCATTCAAATCAAGCTCCATTCTATACAACTTGAGTTCTTTTTTCAGGTTTATGCCATCAACATCATATTTCATATGTATCAAGATCCTAATACAAATTTTAAACAAAAAAGAAAAAGAAAAGAAAGAAAAATCAAAGTTAGATGCTCATTGATTTAAAATAAAATATATAAACCAACAAAATAATTATACCTAAACCATTCATAAGATCACCACAATTGAACAGAGTGGGATTTGTCCCAGCCTTGATCATACTGTTAAACAACTTATTCATATACCCAAAATTTATATCGCCCTAATTCTTAATCAAGAGAAACTCTGAACAAAACGCAAAATTTCTTGACGTGAAATATTAATAATAATAATAACAAAACCTGCTGAATCGTAATAGAAGAATTCTAAATGAATAAAATTTCGTGATTAAAAAAAAAAAAAAAAAGAATCGAAATTCATTGGAAAGGGATGAAAAATTACCATTGACATGTGGATGAATTGGATGGTTATTCCTCCGTTGAAGTTAGGCAAATCAGCGAGGACAAGCGTTTCGATTTGTTTGATTTCAGAGACAAAACACTCCGACATATGATGAGCGTTCCGATTTGTTTCATTGCACATGTAATGGGAAAGAACTAGGGTCTTCAGTTTTGATTTTATAATAGATTTTTTGTTTCTTGTTCTTTCTTCTTTTTTTTAGGCTAAGATGTTTATTTTAAATGATATAAGTTATGTCAGTTTAAAAGAGATAGACATAATAAGAAATGAAAATCATAGTAGAGAAAGTTATTGATTTTTTTTAATTAAATTTTAAATAAAAAAATTATTTTGTGTCTATCTCTTTTATAATGATATAATTTTATGTCATTTAATAAGACAAATATTTTTTTCTTCTTTTAATATTTTTATTGAATAAAATAAGAAAAAAATATGAAGTATTTAAACAAAGATTAATTTAATTAAACTTAAATATTTTTTATAATTATAATTAATTAGTAACTTTCTTATTTCGCTTGTTGTTATTTAAAGGATGGATTTTATAAGAGTTATGTTATAGGAAAAATGATTGTATAATGTTACAAAGATTCATTTTACGTGCCGTAATTTCTTTTTTTTCTTTTTTCTTCAAAAAGTGTGGGTCCCACAAAATATTTTGTGTGTAGAAAAATTTATTGTGTCATGTTAAATGACAAATACAAAGCCCCTTAAAGGATATGTGTTTTAAAATAAGACACGTATGAAATTTCTGTTGGTTTTTGGTATTTCTATTTAATTTCTAATGACAGCTTTAACATGAAAGTTGATTTGATAATTTGGTATTTTTATTGCTTAAAAAATTTAGATACACATGATTATTAAGATTGATGTGTATATTATAAGAGAAAAATATTTTGTTTTAAGTAAAATCATTTTAGTTATAATGATTGTTTTTTATTTAATATTTAAATAAAAAATTCTATTTTCTTTCTTTTATTATTTTTATTGTGTAACTCTTTTTTCACTGTACAATATTGTAATTTTGACTAAAATAATATAATTATATATCCTTTAAAACAACAAACACTAATATCATATTATAATTAGCAATGATTTAATAGATTGTGTTATGGAATATATCCATATCCTAACTACTTATTGAAGAATAATGACTCAATTATCCTAATACCTTGAAATAATAAAGATAATAAGGATAGAACCCTTATCCCTACAAAAAAGGAGTTGAATCCTATACCAACTGGGAGATCTACACACCCAAGAGGTAACTCTATAAATACAAGGCTTAAGACCCCCATGTAGACAATTCTGAACTCAGTTACTACTTCTGCCCACACTGTGCACACACTCACGTCTTGGTTATAAGCTTATTGCTTGTGCGCAGTGATTGGGATATTAGCTATAAGCTATCTATGATATCTGACTACAGGATATTGTTGGGTGGTTTGCTGATGGTGGAAAAATATATATTCTGTTGGGGGACGTTCCTCTGTTCTAAATTAGCAACAGAAAATAGAGTTGTTCCCTTACTTCCAACCCAAGTGCGCAAGTGCACGCATCAAGTAATAATGGGTGTATTAATACCCAGATTATCGTTCCCACGAGGATAGAACTCTAAATATTGTCTTAAACTATTTTATAAAGAATGAAAATGAAAAGAAAAGTTAGTGATTGAACTGTCTGGTCAAACGCTCCCTACTGTCTTAACAACGTTCCTCAGTAATAGTAAGTTCAGTCTGATGGCAAACAATTGCTCGCTGCGTTATATATGTGATCCTTCCTGTTTAAAAGAAGGTGTGATAATAATCATTGGTGTTTGATATATACAAGATTAAACAAAGTAAAAATAAAACAGTAATAACTATAATCAAGAGACAGCAAGGTGGATGGTTTTAAAAAACAGTTTAACAGAAGGAACGGATCCACTACTCCATTCTTAAATAGTTATTTCCTCTGCTCAAGACTTAGCACTTTTTGGCTTTGTCCCATTTCTTATCTGCCAACTCTGATTCCTCAACTCATGGACTAGATCGCTCAAGTTTCCATATTCTTATGGCTCCTTTGACTCCAACAGGTACTTAGTACAGAACCTTAAAATGGACAAAGGGGGGCCTTATTCCTAAGGTGACCAATAGTGTTTTTGTCATAACACTGCCTTCCCCCAATGGCTAAGCTGTCTGAAATCCCTTCCTTAAGGAAGTTCCTTTCTCAGTATGTGTTCAATTTCCATTGATACACAATGAATATAGCTTACTTAGCCAGAGAAATACAAAAAGCTTCAGTCAAGAGTTTTGAAAATAATTCTTTAAGAGTTTTACAGCTTATCCGTCCCACAGATATTTCAGCCCATGGCTGATACTTTAAACATAATTATTCTAAACTGAAGTCCCATACACCCGAGATTCAGTTCAGAGATAACGAGTGGAAAGGAAAGAAGAAACACTTATATTGAAATGAAACAAGAAAGATCACAACAAAATATAAAATGGAGAAGATGGTTGATGCTCGTGAGGAGACTCAAGTGAATGTTACAGAACAAGGTAGAAGTGTTGTCACTTAACTACAGCTACAACTATACAGAATTAAACTACTACTAATATTTAGGTGATCTCTTCTTCAAGAATTTTATTCCTAAGGAATTCGATGATGTCTTCGTGTTTGGGACGTCCTTTTTATAGGCAGAAAAAGGAGTGGCAGTCTTGTAAAATCCTTTGGAGTTGGTTTCTTGACTGAAGGGATGGGGCGGTGGCAACAATGTTTGGAGGCTTGCAACTCGCTTGATGGGTCAGTTATTGTTGATGATTAGCCGTTTTCTTGCAGTCCCTCATGCCTTGCTTTCTACTTTAGCCAATGAGAACTCTTGATTCTCTGTTGTTCACGTTTCTTAGTGCTTAAGTGGTGCACCGCCTTTGCTTTTAGAAGACGTTGTTTCCACGTTTCCTGCAAAATGAACAGAAACATTAAATGAAGGGAGCAGGTGTAATAAATGCTCTCAATCTGTTCCCCTTTTAATATGTTTTCAAAGGATTACGTCATCATCCGTTCCCCCACTGTGTTTTTGTCACAAATGTGTAAAACAAGTGATTTTCATCGTGAAGCTGCTCATCAGATGAGGGAACGAATGGTATTTTGCCATCAAAATGGGCTTAGATGGGAACGAATTTACGTCCCATCAGATATCTCTGAGTGCATATTCTTCTATATTATACGGTTCTCTAAGATCGAACATTGGCGCCGTCTGAGGGAACAATAAAATTTGATTCTCATTCCACGATGACGAACACTCGTGCGACATCCAGCAATGCTCAACCCCAACCACTACACAAATCTGCCATTGAGCATCTCTAAGAGCTCAGAGATCCGATTTTGGTGGAGGTGCAGGTCGAAGAGGTCGGCAATGAGACATTCCCTATCATGACCCGAAGCAACACTGTGACGGAGTCAGCACGTCAGCCACAACCAATTGAACAAACAGGAGCTGACAGCCATATCGCTAACATCGCCTTGAATGCAATCCTTCGAAGGATGCAAGAGATGGAGAACAGGTTTCTGGCTCAACAACGACTAGATGCTCAAAGAATGGAAGCACTAGAAGCCGAGCTGCGAAATCAGAACATTGAAGGCCGAGCTGGAAGAGAAGGTCGAGCTGAAACAGAAGGCTGAGCTAAAACAGAAGGGCGGGAGCGCCCGAAACCCGACAACTGATCATGGCCGAGGTACTCAAAATGAAAATCAACATGAAGGCGGAGGTCAAGGCAATGAACAAGGAGATAATTATCTCCATGATGAGGATGCCAATGACAGACTATTCACTGAAAGGCTCATGAACTTGGCAATTCCGCCGAGATTCAAAAGCGCCAAAATACGCCCTTATGACGGAAGTCAGGATCCTGACGCCTACTTGGAGGCTTTCAAAACTGAAATGCACTTCAACAGGATAACTGGACCCATCAAAGCCAGAATCTTTGTGATGACCTTAACAGGTCAAATGATGGCGTGGATTACCAGATTACCCAGGAACTCAATTGATTCATTTGAGGACTTGGATCGTACTTTTCGCCTGAACTTCGCTACTAGTAAAGAACATCTCATGCCCGCCTATGCATTAGGACGAATTCGGCAAAGGGAGAACGAGTCGTTGTGAAAGTACCTGGATCGCTTCAAGGATACGAAATTTAACTGAACTAGTTCATTTGCATTTGATTATCTAGGGGTTAGATGGTGAATCTCCGCTCGCCAGATCCATCTATAAGAACCCGGTAAATGACCTGGAGGAATTCTGACGAAGGTCATAAAAGTATATCGATGTCGAAGACATCAGATAATCTATGGCGAATCTCGAGGCCGAAGCCCAAATAAGAAGAACAAGGACAAAGATCGACAGGGATCCAAGAAGGCATCTGACTCTCACCACAAAAGGTCAGACGAACGCTCCTCGAGAACTAAGTTTGACAGTTATACTTCTCTCAAAGTATCCAGATCTCGGATATGGAAAGAGGTGGCCCAAACCAATTTGCGTAATGTTGAAAGACCTCGGCCTATAAAGAACAGGGGCGGCTTAGATAGAACTAAGTACTGCGCCTTTCACAATCAAAATGGCCATACAATAGATGAATGTTGGGACCTCCGAGATGCTATTGAAAAGCACATCACAGAAGGAAAGCTCAAACAGTACATCATCCGTACTCAGGGCAAGAAAAATGGCAAGCAAAGACAGCAAAGTTAGAGCAGGAGACCAAGTCCAAAAATGGATGATAGAAAAGACTGAGGTCGAGATCACTCTAACAAAGGAAAAAAGGCTGAAGACAAAGATGAGGAGTACCAGGAAGATGAATACGAATGCAATGTGATAAGTGGAGCTCTAGGAAGAGGAGGCGGTACCGCGACTGCCAGTAGAAGATACCTAAAGGAGGTCATGTCAGTCAGAGACAAACCTACCTTCAAAGGAAGAGCTGAAAAGCCCGACCTTCCCACACTATTCTTTACAGAAGAAAACCTACCCTCTGGCCAACATTGATGGCTTAGTAATCAACGAGATGCTAGTTAATTGTCGGGTCAAGAGAATTTTCATTGACCCCGGAAGCTCAGCCGACATACTCTTCTAGAATGCTTTCTAGAAG